TACCCGCAAGATTCTTGAGCACTCGTAGCTGCTTTGTGTAGGCCCAAGCAGAAATCCACATTACCTACCCGCTGTTCAAAGTTAACCCCAACATCCCGTGGAACCGGCCCATCCCACGAAAGTTCACACCCTAAACCCTAAACCCTGAACCCTAAACCCTAAACCCTAAACCGACAGTACAGGCACCTGGACCCTCAGGCGGAAGTCCTCGTGGCGCGGATGATGATCTCCGTGCGGATGGGCGTCACCCGGACCTCAAGCAAGCTCTAAGGGATTTGGAACCCCAGTAGAAAATATAATTTCAGTTAAATATTAGGATTGTTGGTAACAGAAATTAAAAATATTTTCAGGAAACTTGAAGCAAGGATGTCTCAAAAGATAGCGGGCTTTTGAGAGGGTTTAGGGCTTCGGGTTACTAGGTTCCCCAGTAACCCTGTTGACTGAAACAATTTAACGGCATGTGCACATCATGGGAAACGATAAGAGTAAATAATACGATAAAGTAGTTTTTTATAGTATTCGATAGGAAACGGATAAGAGGAAAACAGTTTGATACCGTGTTAAAGTGGATAGAAGGCTGTCCTCCAGGTTTTTGCTCCGCTCCCATGATGATAAGGGTACTCTTTTTCGTCATGTTCTGCTTGAACGGGGAGACCCCAAAAGAAAAAGATAAAACAGGTACTACTGGGGTACCTAGGTTACTCCAAATGGATGGGGGGTGCCACACTTACAGGCACGGAAGGTGGAAGTGCCACTGCCAGAGCTTAAGAAGACCTCCGTCAAACCAAGCCCAGGGTTTAGGGTTTAGGGTTTGGGGTTTAGGGTGTAGGGCTTAGGGTTTCTCACGCTGACCGTCCACCTTTCTCTTGACCTTCGTGGAAGTCAACTCTCCCTAAGAAGAGAGCCCCGGACTCCCTCCTGATAATAAATATGCGCCCTAACCTACATGGGGGTTTCCCTAAATAAGGGAACCCAAATATAGACCCCAAAATACTATAATCCTTATTATGGGGACCCCCAAAACAATATCCCTAATTTTGGGAAACTCCCCACATATTACACTGTAAAAATGGTAGTGCTGTGTTGAGGGGAGGTTTTCTTGAGGCAGTGAGGGGCTTGCTTCCCTCTGCCACTGAAACCTCCAATAATGAGCTGTTAATTACCCAGCCCTTATAGTAATGAACCTTCAACTATCATATGACTGTAACAGAATCATAATTTTAAAGGGTTGGGTAACTGAGTTCGTCTTGCTAAGCTCCTCTCATGCAGTTTCTTGCAAGTATTCAAAGCAAACTAGGAATCGCTGCTCTCGGGAGGCTTGCATGGGGAAGACAATGCGGAAATACAGTATTCTGTTGTGTAAAACATGGGGATTTTGCTGCAGTATGAATACCCCTAACCCTGAGCTGTTAATTATTTTCTTAGAATTAAAAACCCGATTTTCCCTTTTTTGATGCAGAACCCACCACCTCAGGGGAACAAAAGACCGATCATAGGGTTTAGGGGGTGCCTCAGAAGGCATGGATCCCCGAAATAGCACCAGCCCTACTATGCCCTCTTCAGTGTTACCTATATCCCCCTACCACCTCTGAACCTGAAAGAACCTGGTGCTAATTTCCAATTTCTTTTCCACTCTTCCTAAAGCATCCATTAAACCCCGTGCCCTATGGATCCAGATAGCCCAAATTGGGCAACATTCGCTGGCTTCAGGGCCCAAAGTAGATTGTAGTGGCTACTAAAAATCCTGCGTGACCCCGAATACCCTAAACCTGGGTCATATGGTACTATCGTTCGCTATACCTAGGTCCCCGGGGCCCTAGACCCTAAACCCTAAACCCTGAATCCCGGGGGGCTAGACCCTAAACCCTAAACCCTGAACCCCGTGAGGTTAGACCCTAAACCCTAAACCCTGAACCCGGGAGGAACCAACCCTAAACCCTAAACCGACCTGCCTCGACGCCGGCGTAGCCGTCCTCGCCTCGACTAACTCTTGGGAGCCAGAAAAGTGGGGGGCTGAGGGTTTGGAATGTAGGGTTAAGGGTCTAGGATTTAGGGTTTAGGATTCAAGGTTTAGCGTTAAGGTTTCAAGTGAATTCTTTAGGGTTTAGGGTTCCAGGGGGGCCGAGTAAGAAATGGAAACGGAAACTAATGTATTTCTTTAGGGCTTGGGGTTCCAGGAAAAACTTCAGTAAATGATGGACAAGAAAATTGAAGATACCACTGGCGAATCAAATGAAAAGAACGTAGAACAATGAAATCGAAGCTAGGGTGATATAAGGGGGGATGGAAAACACAATGGAAATAACCCTAGTCTGAAGGCAGCGTGAGTAGGTTAAGAAAGGGCATGACTGAACTTATTGCCAGGCTTGCAGGGGGGTATAAGTACACTTACTAAGACCTGCTGCGGCTTTAGGCCCAGGATTTTGCGTCTTGGGATGCACTCCCTCATTGCCTCAAACCGAAACCCCCGTGCAATTAGGCGTCACCCGTAGCAGCTAAACCTGCAGCGACGGTTTATTGCCCCTGGCTGAAAGCTTGAAGGTTTAGGGCTGAAGGTTTCTATGCTACGCAAAAAATTGACCAAAGTGATTGAAAACTGAAAACGCAGTAGACTAAAAATAGTTGCCCACATCCATATTATTGCAGAAGCACCTGTAGCCCAACCAAAGGAGTCTGAAGGCCAAGACAGCTACAAATGACAAACAAATTGACTAAGCATTGAGATCCAGAACCCTTAAACCCCTAAACCCTAAAACCCTTAAACAAACAACTGAACAACTATAAACCCCTAAACCCTGAATCTGCCAGGGAGCCAAGGGTTCGTGCCAGGAACTCATTGAGCTCGGCGTTGAAGACGCCGTCGGCCACGAACTTCCTCTTCTTGGACACCTCAAGATTCTACGGGTTTAGGGTTTAGGGGTTTAGAGTCTAGGGGTTTTGGGTTTAGGGGCAAGGTCCTACTCTTCTTGGACACCTGGAGGTTCTACTCTAGGGACTTTAGGAGGGACCCCTAATAGGGACCCTTAATCCCATTACCATATAAAACCCTTATATAGTCA